TTGGCTTACACATGCCAATCCGCTGTCTTCCCAGTTCTGAAGTGCGAAATACTTTCATTACGTTTTTCCGGAGACTACCATACGCTGCGCAGACCCTGTTACACCGACTTCTAGAAAGATTCACTCAAAACAATAGCAAGTGAAAATCCCACAGCCAACAATCTGCAAGGATCTTGATGCAGAGACTGCTGAGACAATCAGATGGTCTTTGAGACAGATGGGGGAGGTGTGGCAAAATAAGAATTGCCATCCGTAACAAGCCCTAAGACAGATTCTGACCCCTATCCCATGAACATGGCAAGGGATTACCTTGTAAGTTGTGACCGAGAGATTTCACATTTGTATTAAGAGTCAGAGCTTGCCTGCCCACGTACACACTTATCTCTGGTTCGCAAAGCTCCTGGCAGTCTGATTTTCTCAGGGCAAGAATTCGGACGGACTTATCGGTGTTCTTCCTCCCTTTGGTGACGCACCTTGCACCTGCTTCACATCCTGGCTTCACGCAGTGCTGGCAGCCCTGGAGCAGCCCATTACAGATCAAAAAGTTCAGGAACAAGTAGCTGTGACAAAGCAGGTCAAAGTACAAATTCAGCATTACCATTACGGGGATGGGCTTCTTTCCACAGGCATAAAGCAGAACACAGAGCAATCGTCTGCTGTGAAGCAGAAACTTCACACCAGGTGACACATAAGCACATGGGCATCCAGGGGACACTGTGAGGTGCATCCGATTTTCAAATGAAATCTAGAAATGGATCTTTCGCTTTTGTCTGCATTGGCCTCCAGCATCTGAATGAAACACACTTGGGTGAGCTCTGTCCAATCTTGGCCTTAGATTTCTTAATACATACTTCTTTCAAGATGCCAAAATAAGTATTATCCATCTTCAATCCAAAACACTCTGCATCGTGTGAATTCAGCATTACTGAAACCCTCCAGTCCACCTTTCTTTAATCAAAATATACATGAAGCAAAACCAGATTTTGGCGTAGTGCCAAACAAACCAGTACCTTTAGAAATTATCAGATGTACAGTGACGTCTGCCTGCTAGTTACTCCAACTGTCAGGAAAGACCTTCTCCTGGCTCCCTTCTAACTGGTCTCATCACTGCCAGAGACTCGATACCAGGTAGTGACGGCCAAGGCAAGCAGGCCTGGGAAGGACTTCTCTTCCCTCAGAGTTTTGCTCTGAAGCAGCAAAATTAACATCATTCCTTAACGCAAACACAGCTGAGTCACTTCAAACCTACTGAACACATCAACCAGCGCCAAAATGCAGGAAGGTGAAGCCCCAGCTACGTGGGACAATCTCTAGAGGACTGGCTAAACTGGAAAGCACCAAATGCCAGCTAAGAGGAATTGCAGAAAATACAGGCAAGCAAATATACAGACATCAGCAACGGAGACAAGCGGTATCACATAGAAGTGAGCAGACACACTCCCGTCTTCTGTGAATACCAGGCAATTAGGACAAAGGTAGTGGTGATATTCATTGGTCAGCAATTGAGTGTAGAGCCCTTCAAGGTAAGTTAAAGCAGAACAAAGGAACGTTGCCCATGCTCTTTGTGCCGGAAACAGGCATTTTGCTCAGTGACACGAAGTCGACTGCAAGAGCACATTCAGCCCACGATGAGCAACAGAGACCTGTAATCCCTACAGAGCCAAGACCTCTGGATACCAGTTACCCGCTTCTTCTTCAGCATCAGCTTTTTGCGCCTTCTTAACTGAGAGGGGTGCCGTAATGTCAGCGGTCCCTGAGCTCTCCCACCAAGTTCTTAGATGTAAGTCAATGTGATGCCCCCAGGGAAGTGCAAACCCCACTTTGAGAGCAACATCATTGTTCTTCATGGCCATGACAAGGGTTGCCAAGGCCAGCAGCACAGCATCTGTCCACATTCATCTTTGGAGTCAGTGTTGAACTCCATGGCAGTCAGCTTGCAAGTCCACACTGGAGAACATGGATTTTAGTCTAAACAATCAAGTTAAAAACATGAAAGTTTTGAAAGGTGGAGAGAGAAAACACTCCTACAGCTTTAAGTTTATTTAACCTAGAGTGGTTGAAAAGCAAAAGACGAAAAATATGATATACTTTTGTTTATTATTGCTCTTAAAGGGCTTGGTAGTCAAATATACAAGCTATGATCTATTAAACCAGAAGAAAATAAGATATAAAAACTATGCTCACTTTTCCAATTCAAGCCACCTGCTAATCTTCATTAGTGACATTAACTTCAGCTATTTCCAATCATTTTAATTTATACATACTCTGTGTACGTGTGCGTGCATGTGTGTATAAAAAACCCTATCTGAGGAGACAAAATTCAAAATTAATAGATTCGGGTTGGTTTTGTACTGTTTTGTGCATTGCTGTATATTTCAGTTTTCCAAATGGTTATTGATATGTCTGTTTAGAAGAGCAAAATTTACATGACTGATAATGTATTTTTTGTATTTTCAAAAAGAAAGCATAACCGCTAAGTTCTGATACGAAAATATGAAATGTTGATTATTCTCCCCTTGATGTACATGCACTAATCCCATGATTCCAACTAGGGAGCTACATGCACTAAGAGGAGAAAAGAAACCCGTAAAGAGAAAGGCTATTAATCCCCTTCTCCTTTAAGCATCTCCCCTCTTCTCAGCATTAAGATGGGATTTATTGTGTGAAATTCTTGTCATGCCCATTCATATACTGCTCAAAATAAAAGTATAAAACATAGCCAATTGGTCAGCCTGCTTTGCAAGCCTCTCTCTGCTAAGCCAGTACAATTTATATATAATCAACATCATCTTCAGAAAGCAAGCATACAACATTTGTAACATCTTTCTAAGAAGCAAGAATTATATCCATTACTGAATTACTGAAAAAAAAAAAAAGAAAAAAAAAAGGAAAAGAAAGAAAAGTCCACTGCTTTTAGTCCTCCAGGTGAAACACAGGGAGAGGTATCTTTATCAGCACTTGGAAGTCTAACCATACTTGAAGACAAAGTGAAAAAACACCCAGCAAGGAAAAGAGTCATGGGTAAGGCTCTGTTCTCCTCAATTCCCAAAGCACATTCCAAATTCCACTAACATTAACAACAGTTTTGCATCCCCTATCTTAGGGAAGATTTATTGAGGGGATAAAGATGACATATTAATGCTGGGGCTATGGGTACAAAAATTCAGTGAGGACGAGTCTAACAAGAGACAATGTAGGTCATCTCTCAAATCAAATCCTCTTGTTGAAAAGACCACAAATAAAAATCAAGTCATGACAGAACAGTGATTAATGACCCCAAGTAAAATATTTTTCTAAGTCACAAAATTGCTCTTCCAGTGTTTGAAAACAGAAAAACCTATGAGAGACGAGGTTACATTCCAACAGTTAAGAGTAAATACAGAAAGAAGGTAAATTATTACTCTCTTATCTTGGTTACTAGAGCAAAGATGAAAATAATGATCAGTGTTTTGATAAGATCTGCTCTTTATCAAAGTGAGATAAATATTCTAGTGGCAGCTGGGTTAAAAATACAGACCCTGAGGGTTCACTTCTGCCCTCGGCTATAGATCTGCAACCCATTTTCCCCCACTTCTGAGTGTAGCCAAATGCAGATCGTGGCCTCAGATTTGAAAATACAGGTATAGTCCCCATCTGTTTGCAAACGATTCTCTAGCTACAGCAGCAATCTACAAAAATCTCAGAATGTGCGTTTGTAAAAAAGAAAAAGGGGGAAAAAAAAAAAAGATAGGTACAACCATGACTGATCTCTACTTCTCAGTGAAAACCCTCCAAAAGTCAACAAGCAAAACTAAAAATACTTTAAATCCCTGAAGAGACCTCATACTCTTTCTAACGCTTAACAGCACAGCTCACCTTGCAATATATTTCACATTAACATCTAAAGCACGACCAGACAGAAAGTGCAGCACACCCTATCATTACAGCACGCAGGGTAAGATCCTGGCCCCATGTGAATCACTGTCGGAACTCTCATGAAAAGTTCAAGAGATGCCAGTACCCAAAATCTGATGGATACAGACATCTCCTTTTCAAATTATTTTAAAGGATGACATTTTGAAAACTACTGTGCTGATTCTGCTGATTCAGCTGATTTCTGCTGCTGCCTTCCCGTTTACCGAGGGAGTTTGGCTGAATTGGACTTCGGTGATGAGAGATGTCAACAGAAATAAAAGGAGAAAAAGTCAGGACAATCGAATAAATTTCCTTCTTTCCACAACTCCAAATCCCACAGTCACCATAAATTCAGAAAACAAAACAAGCCCAAGCAGATTAAAAATTATCATATATGTACGATGTGAAACAGGGAGAAAAACACTCAAGACTGAAGCAGTATTTTGAAATTAAACAGCCTCGAGCAGTTAGCAGGAGATACGACGAGAACTTTATACTGTTTTAATCCTAGTGGATCTGTTCTATGGTATGTGCTGATCAATAATGCACTGCTTCCAAATGCCACTATCTGTTCACTCACATTACAGAAGTTTTAAGACGTTGCCTGAAAATAAAAAGTAACAGTGTAACATACAAATACGATTTTATCTGTAGCCATGACAACACAGCCTTTCCAAAACAACTCTAACCCAATGAACATCTGTCGATTAAGTTAAGAAGGGTTGTTTTTTTTCCTGGCTCATTAATAAAAAAAGTTGGAAATCAACAAACATTATGTTGGCTTTAGCAAGAGGAAATAAACATTCAGCGGCTCCTGTTGTAAAAGTGAGTGTAGTGCTCTTGACAGAAACCAGTGTATTCAGTCATCTGAAGATGCACGTGGCCACAGCCAATGCTCTCTTTCTCCCCCCACCCCCAACAAGTCCCCCAACGAAGCAAGAAAAACTAGTTTCTTTCACCCCACCCCAGATTTTCTCCCATAGTTTGACTACAGTAATCTTTGAACAGGCAGAAAGTTGATGCGTTCTCTTCAGTTGATGCCTCCAACTTCATTCTTGGCTCAAGTTTTATTCATTAATATTAGTCATCAGTTATTAAGAAAAAGATAGTTTCTAAGTGTTTGTTGTTGTTTTGTAACTGAAGTTAATTGGATACCATAGTCTGGTTATATGTGCTGCAGTTGTCAGTTATTCCTTTTTCTTGAATTCTTGGTTGCCATAGCTGGAGCCTTTTTCTATTTCAGTTACTCCTATCAGTCTACGAACTCCAAAGGAAGCTTTAAAATATAACAGAGAAAAAGGGAGGTATATTAAAACCACTTCAAGGATTTAGTAAGTTACGTGTAAAGACACAAGCAGAACTAAACATGAGTTAACCCTATCCTGCAGACAGTAGCGACTACAGACCAACACAGTGCGCTGTATGAGGCTGCACACGGACCACAGATCAGGTGTCACTAAAAGGGGCAGATAATTGAGATTTAAATATAAGTAATGCTTCTATGTTGATAAACAGGTAACACAAACACTGCAGAATATCGCTCCTGCCCCCACTGCCTTTTTTTTTTTGGGTTATGGTTTTCTGATGGTGGTCAGAGTGGTGGGGGTTTGGCATTTTTTTGTTTGGTTCGTTTTGTGTTTGTTTTTTTTATTTCAAAGACGAGGAGTGCAGTAAGAGTATTTTCTCCTTCAGGCACCATAAAACAGGCCACAAGACTTGCTACTAATTGCTACAGATATTGCCTAAGATGGGAAGGCAATCCTGTCTGCATTAAAGCTTTTGAAATAATAAAACAGCTACACAATACAAAGACTACAGAGCGAATTCCAAGTACTATTCTGCAAGCCTCATACATCTTAATTAATAATCAGAACTTATTGGAGGTAATGGATCTTATTACATGTCACTCTGGGCTTAGCATCTTCTCTTTTATTACCTGCTCCAACAAGTCCCAGGAATGCAAGGATAAGGAGAGGTGATCCACTTGCAAAAACTCCAAAGCCGAATGTGAAGAGAGGAGAGAGGAGAACTGTGGCCCAAAAAAGAAAGTTTAGGAGAGTCCATGGTCTCCTAGGAGGTTTAAACTGCTGGCCAGGAAACACACCTTCCTGATTATACATCTCTTGCAAAGCATCCTAGGAAAAAGAGAAGACAGAAGAAAACACGTTTGTAATGCTCACACCAAATATTCCAAGACTGGTCAACTCCAGGACATCAAGGACAGCACCTGTGGTAAGTGTCCATCAAGAGTACATGGCACCCATTTCCATCTGCTGTCATTAATGCCGGCATTTCTGCCGCCTGCCGAGGCCACCGTTTTTTGCCCTTTGAAGGCAATCTTGGCTGCCATCAGAAAGCGAAACTGTATCAGCCTTTCCACTACCAAATATCTTCCTCTCTCTTCTCTTAGGAATTTAGGGTGCTGTCGGCATCCAGCGGAGACGCAGGTAGCATCTGACACTACCTGCCTCTCCGCTGGATGCTTTTTCTTCCCGTTTTCATGTGCAAAAAGGGCAGCATGACTTAGCAAAATACAGCAGAAAAAATGCTGCATGTACAGCCAGAAGAGGAAGGCAAAGCACAAGCTAAGCAGCAGAGACAGCGCTGTGCCGGCCATAACCCCAAGACTTCCAACAGAGCAGCTGCAGCCTGAGCTGAGCCTGAAGAGAGACACAATCATGAAACGCATCACTCAAAGGAGCAACACGGCCACAGCCTTCCCTCAGTTTGTAAGAACGTTCTCTAAGGTTTCCAAGCCATTAACAAGGATGGCTCAAGTCTGCCTATTTCTTACTTTCCGTCCCTCCTTAAGTTGTTTCTTTTTAGCTTCCTTTATGAAGGGCTGAGAAGCACAAGGCATTCCTTGCCACTGATGCAGCCTTTCGAGGACGCACCCTCTGTGTGGGAAGAGCACTTTAAGGATTCCTGTTAGAACACATTTATATACTGATCTGATGGTGGTAGCAAATACCCTGATAGCAGGAGGTGGGATTCAAGGACCCCAATTTTTTTAAGCATTCTGATCCCACACTACACTAACTGACCTGCAACTAGTTTGATACACCTGCTAATGGTAGGTGGGGGGAGAAGATGATGACAGCTACAGCTCTTTGTAATGGAACTTCCCACCCCTTAATTGAATTAGAGCTTACATATTCAAACAAATGAGGTTAACAGGCACAAAATGAAACTCAGAATGATTTGCTGCCTACCTACAGGCTAAGTGTAAGCTTGAAAATGCTGCAGCATAGGTCATCATAACAGAAGAAAGCCCAAGAGAGTTAAAGTTTCTGCGCTGCTCTGTTTCCCACAAAGATAAGCAACACAAAAATTAAGACACACGTTTCAAGTTCAACAATCCACCAATTCAGGCTTGACAACATTAATTACAGTTCTCTCCTCCTCACAGAACCGTTCAATCTTTGGTCAAGAAATTAACTATCTAAGGTTAAAAAAATAAAATAAAAATGATAAGACACGAGGAAAAGCTCTGAGCCCTCTGAAGGTACGCTGGCCATGTGCTACACCAGTCCCTGGCAACAGATCCCAGGGACCGCCTGCACCACGTCACACACCACTGCAGAGGTGTCACCAGGAGGCAGAAGGAAAGCAGCAGTGGAACAAACACGAAAGCAAAGGACAACTGCAGCTAAGGGCCAGGACAGGCTGTCCCCGACAGCCAGTTATCACTGCTCTTGAGTGCCTTAAAACACCCACAGGGAAAATGGAGCTTTTGGAAACATCTGACAGAGACCCAGGAGCTGAAGAATATAAAAAGACAGTGGATTGCTTTTAGTCTTGCGCAGCTCAGGAGTATTTGTGAATCCCACTGCACTTCCCAGCAGTTTGAGACCTACTCAGCTAGCCCGCTCTCTGTGGAAAAGGGGCTCTTCCGTACCGCTCCTCCCAGTAGTTTGAGAGATGGCTGCCTAATTATACACAATATTTCTATCTGTTCTCTCCATCCAGTGGAAGAGTGTGCATTATTCAGTGCCTTCATACACCACTCCTAGGGAAGTTCCAAAAGAGAAGGGGGAAAAAAAAGCAAAGTCATTTACCTTTTCCTGGTAAAGCTTATGAAGCCAGTTTGCAGCTTCCTTTTCATCTTGAGGGATGTCTTCCAGAGGAAATCTCCTAGTTGAGTAGAGAGATTAAAAAAAAAAAATAAGGGAAAAATCCTAATATCTGAATTTAGACCTCTGCTAGGGAAGATCTTCCTTTCAATGAAGGCCATAAGCTGCAGGTAATACTGTGACTGATGGCAGAGGTCTTAAAAGCAGAAAAGAACTGGGATTTAAATAACGGCCCATTCTCCACCTAAATGCTCCGATTCCTACGACAAAAGAAACTGTACAAGGCCCTACCGATTTCAGAGCACATTAGTGAAACAAGCACTTCCCATTCAAACACTGTTCTTCCTTCACCAGAAATGCCACCAGTTGTTTCACAGTGAGCTCAGAACGAGGCACCCAGAGTGGGGAAAAGACAAGCAAGTAGCAAACCCCAGGATAATCACAGAATCATAGAATGGCTTAGGCTGGAAGGGACCTCAGAGATCATTTAATCCAACCTCCATGTCATGGGCAGGGATGCCACCTCTTGACTAGATCAGGCAACACGGACCGAACAGGAATAGCCTGTTACATTTTGTTAGTGAAAACTCCATTTCTGGAAGGAATGGGAGAGACAGTTAAAAATTCACTGTGTACCAAGTACTGAGGAAAACATCTATGGCAACTACACTGGTCCCTCCTTGCCTCTCCAGCCCTACAGACTGAGGCACGTGATTCCGGATGCGTGTGAAAATTAGGCACAGCTCCGGGTGCTGACCCAATCTCACCGAGAACAGGCACCTTTTAAGAGCCTCTTTCTGGTGACGATGAGTCAATCATTTTCCTGCCTTCTTGTATTTCCCACGATAGGCCACTAACAAGCTCACAAATGTATCATCTTCTTTCTCAGTGGTGTACATCTGCTCGAACATATTTTGTCAACACTTGGACTGTATCTGGGCCGTCCTACAGCAGGGCAGTAAGAACAGAAGGGTGACCTCTGGGAGGGCTCTAGACACTGTGATCCCAGATACAACTTATTTGCTGCTCTTCAACTAGGGAATATACTTCTGCAGTATGAACAAAAGCCTTCAAGTCTGCAGCAGCAGAGGGAAGATATTCTAATACACTTCTAATGATTTTTGCATCCCACAAACGAGTTTGACACCGTATTTTCATTAGCTCTAACAAGAGGAGTTGTTCAGTTAATACAAATAATGCTCAAGAAAAGCTCAGTAAAAAGTCATTTGCTGAAAGCTCTCGGGTAAAGTTGTCATTGTATGGCTGTCACCACTAGAGGGTACTCATGGCAACAAAATTTGGTAATTTAGCTGATTATTTTCTCTGGAGCCAGTCAGGAAGAAGATTGGATCCTCTGCAGACAGCTAAGCTTCTTACAGCCACACAGGTAACTGCGCACGCATATACTAAGAACAAGAGCTTACGTGTTCCTTTCTTTGAGCTAAGTCTGCTGGCACATTAAGGACATGTCCAATTTTCACCAAAGACTGTAGAAAGTTTCTTTATTCTCATAGCTTCCTCTCCAAAACTGAAAAAAAGCTTCATGAGAATGTGGATCCAGTCCCCAAACATATTTTAAATCAAAATCACCTGAACACAGTCATTAGTTTCTTTAATAGGGCACAATTCATAATTTTACCCAGCAACATCGTCCTCAACAGAATTTTATGAACACACACCAAACGACTACAGAAAACTACATCTTTCTTTTCCTCCTACTACTTCACCAATAAATAAACCCAACTCGCATCTCTATTAGCAAGCCACAGCGTATGTAACTGAGTGTAGCCACTCTTCAATGTATTATTATACAGATGTACATCTATGTTGTGTGCCCCTGATCTTGCTCGACTTGTGACACACACCTGCTCTCAATATGGGATTACAGGTGGCAACTGCCCGACCAGCTGTTTTGGCAGCTGCTGAATTGCACTTTCCTCATCGGGAGTACATCTGGTAAGTGTAACGAGTCAAAATGAAGCCTCTTGCAAATGAGTAGACTCCCCATTAACTCCGCAGCGTTCTTTCCAACCAGAAGACTGAAACGTTGTGGAAATTGCAGTCTCGGAACTGAACTGGAACACATGTCCTTCTCATCCCCCCTAGCGCTGCTGCACACTACATTTTGTAGAAGAAATGGCATTTCAGAGACGAAATTTCCACAAAACTTTCACTGCTCTACCTCAACACAATGGATCATCAGTGATTCCCTGCGAAGTCTTTCACTGTTGGAGGCTCTGGCAAGACACACCTGCTTTCATCTGAAGGACAACGTATAGAGCCAGTGTCATGCATCTGCAATGCACAGATGGAGGGGAAAAGTGTGGGGAGAAGTAGCAAGGGACTTGCCTTTTGGATTTTTTTTCCTTTAAAAACAAATTATCAACCTCATCACCAGAACTCAGCAATGTCTTTCAAAATGTGGGTGAAATCCCCACTGTCAAAAGAACTGTGGAAAAAACCAATCAGGTTGTTTGTCAGGTCAAAATATAGAAGGAAAAAGAAGAAACTCAACAGGAAAGGGTTGAAGTTTTTATGATCACAAGGAAGCACTTTAAAGCAGGAGAAGGCAAGAAAGAAAGCACGTGTGTGTGCACACACATCCTGCATGGAGTTAGGCGTTAACAGTTACTTTCTCAGGCAAAAGAGTAATGAAGAATGTGAAGAATGTCTCACCTCACTCATACAATGTCTGAATTCCAGCATTATTCAACTTCTAATCTGCTAACCAAACCATGTGAGAGAAGGACAGACTGGCACAGTAAAGAGCTTTACACTATTTGCTACAAGAGACCACTGAAGTTGGACAGGCTATTTGTGCTATTTGTACTGTGCATATGCTCACAGGGCACTGGGAAGAGGGCAGAACAGTTTTGGTTCTCTGTTCCCAGCACAGAAGGCAAAAAGGCAGACGTGTCCTCACTGCACAAAACAGGGAAACCCTAGAATGACTGCATGATCACACTCAGGCATAAGAAGTCTGTCCGACGCTCAATATCCTGGGATCTCACATGAAAGCAGGAGGGAAATGGGGAGGCCTTTGTGGCCTGCAGAGACAAGGAAAAGGGGACTACAGGAAAGGACATTTCCCTGTAAGATTTTAATACACTTCAACACACCAAAACACACATCTTGGGGCTCACCATCATTATATGCTCACCTTACACACATATCTGCTTCGTATTTCTTCCCATAAAGTATTCCTAATAAAGACGGGTTCTTGTTTCCTCTGAAATTTAGTGTTACATCATATACTGCTGAAACTGTTGCAAAAAAAGAAAATATGGCTGTTACAGCAGCAATCTGAGCAACCACACTGCTGGCACCCTTGCATTAGACAGCAACAGAGCCTTGTGCAAGTCTTTCATTAACCATGTCAGGTAGCAGAGTCCTTCACTAACTTGTGTTTACATGTTGTATTTATCTGTATTAGCATCTTGACATTCCCACCTATGTAGCACGTGTGTTATCAAACCACAGGCTGACTTGATGAGCTAAGCAAAAGTGATGTATGTGAAAGGGTTTATTAGTTTTAAGACTGGTATCTGAGAATTATGTGGCAATTTACAAATTAACAGTTGACATGCTGAATGCTTATTACTACAGACTCATTAACTGTAGTGATGTAGTTAACAGCAGAGTGCAACACATTGTGATACGCAGAGTGTACTATGCAACACATTACAATTTAAGCAAAGAACAAGTAGCAGCTTGCAGTACCTGTTCCCCTGAGACACTGAACAGCAGTGGTGAAACCTTTGGTTCTGGGCAACAGGTGGTATTTCAGTTTAGGCAACCCCTTGGATTCAGCAACTTCCATACTGATACGATGCTTGGTCTCTGTAAAACGAGTTCCTTCACAGTATAGGAGAAACTAGTATGAGACAAAAGTCAAAAAAAAGAAAAAGAAAAAAAAAAGGACATCTTGAGATCAAAGGAAACCAAGCAAAATACAAAATACTGAAAATTTGTGTAAGATAAGAATATATCCATAAATGTGTTTGCATTTCACATGTCTTATTTGATCATCAAGTATTAGGCATAAGCGCCACCTCACAACTAATTTACAATTATATCCAATTTTAACAACACTGGTACCAAATTGAAGGTGACTAAAAGTCTAAATGGTTGTGCTGGAAACATTTATTTTTAAAAAAGAAAAATCCCTAAAGGCTTTGGCTGGCTGGTGATAGACTAATCTACAAATCAGAAAAAGCAATCCAAACATCAGTACATGATAACTTTGGGAAAAAAACATATTAATCACTAGCTATTTAATTTAAAATCTGTACTGTACAATGAGAATTACTCATCTGAGACAGATTTGTTTGTTCAAAACCTTTTCTGGTTTTCTGATTTTTTTTCTGTTTTTTTTTTTGCATTTGTATCAGTTCTGTTCATAAGAAATGGTGCCCTTCCCTAAAACCTTTTACCTTGTAAGGCACCAATCCTGAGTAACTATTGAAGACTTAAATCCTCCCACAGTGACTTCAAGCAGCACAAACCATCTATCTGTCCTTCTCCTCCCTCAGTATTGCCTCTGCTCTAGTTGAGAGAGAGACAGAAGCAATGCAAAGCCAAGAGCAGGAAAAAAAGCCCTTCTGCAGGCCCTAGGGTGAATTTCTGTTTATCCCTGGCCTTTTTGAAAGCTGGGCCTAATTCCCATTGCACCAGCAATGGAAACATTGCTCGGTTTGAATGCCCAAACCCCTGCATCCCTGGCAAGCAATGGAGGGGAGGAAGGGCAGGCTGAATTTAATTTATTTATTTAAATGCAAATACACTCTCACAGCGGTATTATGGAACATTGCAATTCAGAAAGACTTGTTGAATATGTTGCCATACGTCTGCTCTTTGTCAGTACTGCAGCTGCTTCACTTTTCCCTTTGCAGCGTATCCACATACCGTGCACCACAAAGTCAAGTGAAGCGCATGTTAAAACCTCAAAGCCAAGACTTTGACCCGCCAGAGCACAAGAAGAGAAAAGGAACCGGCCCTGCAGTCTTCATGTGGCCCTCAAGGGCACACACACATTCATGACAAAAACCTGATCAACCCAGTGGTGAGGACAGCAGGAGGTACAGCGTGTAACACCGCCATCCCAAACCTAGGCTGCAACACAAACTCTTTCCTCTACGCCAAGTTCTCACCCCCTTCTACTGGGTGGTGTGGTGATCCTTCCAGACCAAGCATGCGCTGCCGTGTACGTGTGAGAAAGACCTCATGGAGGAAAGTTGAGCAGAAAGCCCTGATTTGTAGCATTTAGAATGCACAAAAATTACAATATTGATTTACTCGAGTCAATTTTAATCATGATTTAAATTACCAGGCAGGAAGTCTTGGCTTAAATAATCAATGCTAACTACATTCTGCATTTATATCTTCTAGCTGTTTTCCCTGGAGACTAGTCCTTGGTTCTCAATTGTAGAATCATTAAAATGTATAGATTTGCTACTAAAGCAGTCTTGAGATGTTTTAATTGGAAGGGCTTTTTTTTTTTTTAAGCACTAATCAGGAGGACATACTAAACATAGTTTATACCCATATATTCAAACAATTAAGTGGTTTAAAATACATTCTCCAGATTCTTATTTTTTGTGTCTTTGTAATGACAGAACATCATGAATGACACGTGTGTTAGTTAAGGCTTACTATTTCACTATTCATTTTAACAAGCTGTAAGGGATAATATTGAAAAATCACTTAAAATGCACAGAAAGCCTCTTAAGAAGTTTTATGAGCCAAATAACTGTATATTATACATGCTGCTACAAAAGTAAACTAGTGAATTTATCAAAACATTTGCATTCAAAGCTAAAAGGTTAATAGGTTGATTATACCACTGTGTTGCTGCCATAAAATCTAACAACACTGCACATGATGAAACATAAATGTTCCACCCTTTGACTTCAAATAGTGTTAAAATAAAAAAGGAAAAGCGCAACTGCAAAAGCAGATGTAAAATTGCCATATGTTTTCATAGAGACTTTTTGAGTAACTTATTACTTCACAGATCAACGAGCAAGATCTTTCCATCAGAATCCATGGTCTGTGCCTCCTCTCCTCAAATTCACTCACTTCTCCAGAAAAGACTTTATTTATGTGTCTTTTTAGCCTACCTCGGAAAATATACATTAAGGTTAAATAGATTTAGTAGTCAAATATGGGCTGTTATTTTTTTTAAAGGTAAAAATAAGTTCAGACAAAATGAACAAGCCCGATTACACAAGCCCGATTCATAAATTATCATCAAGTTTCTAATCATCTATGAGAGCTTCTGAACTGTTTCCCAGATGATTTCCCTTACCAGAAGGCAAATAGATCATCATTTTACCAGCATATCCTAAAAGACCTCCTGAAAGAGGATGCAAATTTTCCTTGACAACACTTAAAGCAAGCAGTGAGCAGGCTACACAAGACTACAACATGAGTACCTCCATCAGGCTCTCACTTCTAGCAGTTGATATTAGAGCAGGAACTCAACTTACCCACATATATTCAGGATAATCAGCCAAACGTTTTAATCCTTCAATAACTGTATCTCTGTCTTCTTCCCATTTCCTTTTGCAGAAAACAATCTCAAGAAAGTACCACGTCCAGCCAATGAGGGGCACATATAGTAGCTCTCTCTTCGCAAGAACTTTGGAACTCTTGGAGAAAAAAAGAAACAACAATCCAAAAATGTCATTTGCTGATCTGTACAGCAAGACCAAAGACATTAACATTAAGACGATGAAGAGCTGATGAGAGCTGTATCTGGGAACTTAAATGCAAAGAAACTGTATGCACATGGATTTTAAATAGCCCCATCATCCTCCTTGTGGCCCCACATACCCCTAGCACTCCAAAGCGCTCTGTCATAGTCCAGCCACACAAGAAGTCGATTTCAAAGTTGTGATTCAAGATGATGATGACATGTTCTTTCCCAAAGGTGTTCACCGTGGCCTCGTCTGAGAACAAGGTGCACTCGGTGCCTGACCACCATTCCAGCAGCATTACCAACTCTAACAAACATGATGAAGATGGAGAGAGGAGTTAGGGGTGCTGCTTACAGAAATCATTTAGCATTTCATCTCCAGCCCCATTAGTGCTCAGTCTCTTCTGATCGCCAACAACACCATCATCTTTTCAATCCAAGCCAGGAGAGATGAAATGAGAGCTTGGCTGAGTACAAACCAAATCCCATCATCAACCTTAAGCAGTATTTAGTGCACTAGGTCTATGCATTATGGATAATTTAGCACGTTTTTAGCAGTGACAAGTTTGGGCATTACATTATGAATGTGAAACTTCATCATCACCAGAAAAAAAACAAAAAACTAAAAATTTTGTGCCTGAAAACAGACAGTTGAGCTGTTGATTGCTCCACTAAATGAGTACAGTTTCTCCCAGGTGGAATACAAATCATGTATAGATGCAGCCTAATGCTTTTACTCAACATGAAACAGACCAATAAGGGGCTTTTAAAAGGATACAGTACCATAGATCTTCTGCAACAGATTTTAATATTAGAACACAAGACTCTAATTGTTCCGTATTATGGTCATCACCACAGAGTCAGAAGCACCAGAGCATCAAGCTAATTCATCAAAATACTCAAGCAAAGACAGGAATGGTAAATTGTGCCTTCCTTCTGTTGCAAAAGAAAGAATGAGCCCTTTCCCCTCTGTCTTCTCCAACTTTTCAGTATCTCAGCATCTCTCTTACTCTGCCCTGAACATTTCTTTTGTTACCCACTCTTCTTATTTTCCACCTTCCCTTTCTTCATCTTAAAAAAACACCCTTCCACTTAAATTCAGCATGCACTGAACGTAGTTGCTGTGGTTAGCCTATTTCTCTCATTTCAGTACAACAAGGCAGATGGAAGGCACTCCTTGTATCATGGGACAATTATAAAGAGTATAAAAACAGTTCTTTCTCCCAGTAGGAAGACTGGCTTCTATGCAAACCATAGTCATTGGCGTTTTCTCATTTCAGTGAGATACGGATGCAATCAAAATTAGGTTGCACAAATATGGCACTTATGAAGTCCAACTGTTCCCACACTATAACGACAAATGTTGCAGGGTCAGGTTCTGCCACACGGTATCTCAACTTTCTTTTGGGAAGCTCTGGGTTTGCAGAACGGAGCAGTGCCTTCCTGCATGAGGACTTCTCATCTGTGGGATCACATCAGGGTCATTTATCCATTCTGCTCAATAGGAGTGGGTCCACTTTTGCATCACATCAGAGAGAAGGCAAATCAGGTGAATGATAGGGAAAACCAGCCCTGGTCTGCTGAAGATACATAGCTTCTCTAGCACTAGAGTTTTTTTGCACTTGTACTCTCTATGTGACCAGTTGTCCACCAGGGTGTTCCCCTTTATCATTTTCAAGACTCACTCATTTGGAGACACAACCAAGTTTCGCAACTTGCTGATCAAGAGTGTAACCCCAGTCAACTCAAAAAACACCATAATGATTTATAACAACTAGAGGCTTCTATCTCTGCTTTCCAGCTTTGTCTCCTTTGTGAACGATGTCACCACTTACCTTTCCTGCTCTGGTTATCGTGGCTCAGTAAAAGGGGAAAGAGGACAGCAAGGGTGTCCTCAGCTGAGAGCTAAGCTCTTCCAAGCAGGTAGCCAGGGGAATGAAGTAGTGGTATCAAAACACAGTGTGGTATTTTGAGTGATTCTCCGTTTCCATTGCTGTCTATGTACTAAAGAGGAACATCTCCAGTATCTGCTACAGTTGCTGCATTTCTTTATAAAAAATAAAGCAAAATGTGTGTGTTTCCTCTTCAACATCAGAGAAAAATTCTGCAGAGGCAAGTGTGGATGATTTTCTGCAGAGCATTTCTTGTACCATTCACTCTAAAATAGTGGAGGAAGCTTTGCTGAGAAATTTGCCAGAGTTCATTCTGAGAGAGAAGGGTTGAAATGCTGGAGAATTAATGCAAGGAAACAGACTGTCCTTTTCAAGTGTGCTGATAAATGATGTAATTATAACTGGGAGTGGGCTCATTTCCTTTTTTTTTTTTGGGGGTTGTGTGGGTTACAACTACACTGCGTGGCACTGATTCTGCCGATTTTACAGCAAAGCCCATCCTTCTGAAGGAAGGGCAAGGCATGCACTGCTTGGGATACTCCCTGCAGAGGACAAGCAACACCCTGCTAAAACAATGCCCCCTCCTGTGGCTGGGATTCCTGCACACCAAAGCAGGCCAGTTTACAGCCCCACAAGTCACCCAGGCACAAAGCCAACGAGGCACAGAGCATGTCTTGGTTTAAAGCAATAATGCTGGAGAGACTGTTTTTGCAACTGTACTAAACCCAACACACTGTGCTCTCCAAAGGCCTGAATCATCTGAAAGGAGCTGGTGTAGGAGAGCCTGAAGTACAGACTTACCTCTCGTGAATTACACGCACTGCAAACGGTTTATGTTTAGACCAAAGCCTGAAAGATTATTTTCCCCCGCAATGGCTGCCACAAACACGCGATAAAGTCTGTCTCCTTCCCCTTCTGAAGCTGTGCCTTATGTATTTAAGAAGAGATACAATAAGAATAGAGCCAGGCTATAGGACACAGCCAGACATCTGCGTATCTATCCCTGCACACCAATCCTCTGCTGGAGGGGCAGAATAGCTTCTGTACAGACAGCTCTGACATAAACACCCTCAGCCTAAAACTAAATAGCTTAGAGTAAGTGAGCAAAACATCCTATTCAAAACACAATCCACCAATCTACAGGTTCATTGCCAAAAGGCTTCCACATAACAAAGTATATTTCATTATGAATGGTAACATTTGAACTGCTGCATTTACAAGGCTTACTTAATTCGTTATAAATCACAACTGAACTGCATATTCTGTCAGTTCTTCCATTACAGGCCATCAGAACTCTGCAATCCCATATAACATTTATGTTAATTTTCATAGTTTAATTTCCCAATCATTTAATTTCTAATAGGCTGTACACAAGGGGTTACACTAGGTACAGCCCAATTATCTACTCGGCTTCTCCAAACCTTTCTGAACAATAATGTAGGCTTTATTTCCAGTGTATACCAGATAGAAGAAAACAGCATTGAAAACGTGATTTTTCCATGCACAATACTAACTAATGCTAACGCTATCAAGCCTCTGAACCTACAAGCCTTACAGGCACAATTAGCTCAAATCCTCAGAAAAGCCAGACTATTAGAGAAACAATAGTTTTCAGGATGAGATCAGATTCTAGATTATTAAAAGCACATTGAGAAATTCTTACAAGCAAATTAGAAAAAATATCCCATATACTCTTACCTCCCTCCAACCAAGCTAATTTTGAAGTTTCTACCTATAAATTCCTCCATTACAATACCTTCTCTCCTGACAGTTTGCCTATCACTCTTTATTTAATTTCCTATCTCCTGTGCTTCTCAAACAATATTCTCAAGAGAACAAAAAGAATAGCGAGGACAAGGACAAGAAGCTTAAAAAGAAACTGAACTAGATGCTTTGGAGAGTTTTTGTTGGGAGTACCTCACATCGATGGTTTCAGAAACGTGAGTGCCTGTCACTGGACCCTCAACTGTAATTTAAGTGCTCATTTAGGTGATTCATTTACCTGAAGTGGGAGCTGGATGCTGAGCTGAGCACTAAGATAAGTGGCCATGCATACTGGGAGGGGATGGGGAATAGAAACAAATTAGATGATTCACAGAATCACAGAAACAGGAGGTGACATTCGGACTAAGGAGTTGTCTAAACATTTGTTTCAGTAATCTAATCCCGTGTTAAGTTCTATGAGGAAGAAAAAAAAAAGCCATCCACAGGGAGGAAATTTTGCAAAGGTCTGAAAAATGAGAGCAAAGCAGCTGCACTCACTGTAGAGCTGTCCCAGAGGCAGAAGAAAAGAGCTACAAATAGCTCACAAGAGGAGACACAGGCATCACAGATGGACACCGTGGGGTGTGAGAGGACTCTAGTTGTCACACAGTTCAGCTACAGAGGCACCTACACTAGCTACTCTAAGGCAGATCTCTCTTTCTGGAGATCACACAATTGACTTGGGCTCCTAAGTAAGTTGTCAATATCGCACACATGCTTGTGTCGACACCTGAAGCAGTCTCTGTGAATTCCCAGGATGAAGATGATATTGAGACAGAATCAACAATTCATACCAGTGGTGACAGCATTGGGAGTGGGGGGAAGCTTTACTTTCCACTTTTTTGAATAACAGTGACAACATGTATCAGTCCCTTGATTTCTGTATGTTTTCCCAGTATTTCAGAAAGGACCGCTGCTTTCAACTGCTCTGGAAGAGTTTATGTTTAACTTACCGCTTCTCTCTCTCATGTGTCTGTGTATACATATATGCACATATATATTTTTTTTTAACAAAAGGAGAAACAAAACCCACTTCCCTCCCCATCCCCAGCCCTCACATCCCCTTCAAGCATACTCACGGCTCCAAAGTGAATAGGCAAGGCGACAGTTTACTCGGCGATAAAACTGCTTGTTTATGGGCCAGAGGACTAGCGTGCATAGTTGAATGAAGTTAATGATCAGTCCACTCACAACAAAAACGAACCCAATGAGGAGGTGAACTATGAACTGAGTCTTCAGAAAGGCAATGAAGCCCATGATAACCACTCAGAAGCGTGTGCAAGGGCCGTCACTCAGAATAACTGTCCTGAAAGAGAAAGAAAAGAATCAAATGGAGACTGGATTCACAAGCCCTGAAGAAAGGCAAAGCGAGAGCCCTGAAACAGTCAACTTGAGCAACAGTAACCTGATCCAATAAACACTCAAGCCATCTCATTCATGTCTTCACACAATAAACTGCTGACAGTGCAAATCACTTCTAAAAATAGGAAGGAATTATTATTTACAATTCACAGCCCACCAAGAAAATTATTGTTTACTGAAGATGAATCTCACACCTCTCTTCCCACAAAGATGATATAATCGGACTTAATGACGGCAGGAACACAGAGCCCTGCACCCACAGCGGAGCAGTTGAGCCCCAATGGTTAAACAAGCTGTGCTGTGACCACTGAACCTTCAGAGGTTGCGGTCTTCAGGGAGAGAGGCCTCAGCCCTGCTCTCATGCAATAAATGGTACACTGAGCCTCCGGAGCCATGTAACCGAAGCAAAAGCAACTGCTCTGTACACACTTCTCCTGAACAGGCTCCGAGCAAGGGCTGCCAGGGCTACAGAAAGTTTGTTATGCATTTGCTTTGACTAGAAGGTTGCAGAAGTCCATCGAGGGAGCAGAACCTTTACCCTGCAGTGAATTTCAGGATGAAAAGAGCAGGGCTGGTCACAGAGGGCATCAATCTGGCAAACGCTAAGGCCATGGAAATGGAAATTAGGTATTCACACATCCCAAACCCATGTTGGAGCAAGTTTAACAACTTCTCAAGTTGTCAAGCCACAGTTTCGTGATCAAATACAGTAATCAGTGTGGAAGAAAAAGTAAAATAATAGAAATAGCTTAGGCTATGTACCAGCACAAATTTGATTTGGAAAAAGCTTTGATACAGAATCTTGATTACACCAAATCAGCTAGAGCACTTAATTCCGAGCACGCACCATGTTTAAACCAGGTGCAGAAAGACGGGCGATGTCTGAACCAGCAGAAAGTCACAGTAGCATAGACAGGCAAGTCAGATGTAATATGAATCCTGCCAGTGCAAAGTTAACACATTTACCAAGCTACCAAGACTGAGTTTGTTCCACTTTGCATCATCTGTCACTGGCCTTTTTGACCCATTGCATACTAGAAGCCCTACAATTAGGCCAACCAGGCCGTCAAATTAAAGTCCCCATGCTTCACTCCAAAAATAAAGACATGATTGTGATTTTATGCCAAAGCTTGCTGACGGTATTTATGCGCAGCATAATGACTACACCAGCCAGTAGATGGTAACAAATACTTTTGACAAGACAAGCATCTGAAGGTGATGAAATTCCTGATGCTCGAAAATAAAATACCTGCCAGCTGTGAGGAACCAAAACATTTTCATTTGCTACCTGTTTACAGTATGGTGCTATTTATGAAACACAACAGCAATTTTACCTGCCATGTGAGTGGTTAGAGCTGGGCTGGCCACTAAACGAACGACAGATGCTCTCTATGTAACCCCTTTCCTTTCTCAGAAGGGAAAAAGAAGGGAGACAGACACTTAGTGGTTGGAAAAAACCAACCAGCTTTACTGAAAAGGTATTAATAAAAAGATAATGTTAATAAGAAAATACTGAAATATATACACATCTATAATGTATATATATAAAGCCAGTATCAAAATTCCCCTGATGATGATCATGACACCAGTGATGCTGCAGGGCAGGAACCAGCCAAGCTCCAGACTGGACTCAGCAGCAGACAGGAACGCACAGGCTGGGACTGAAGGCAGAAGAACAGACAGAGTCCTCCTCAGATGCCAGCCATTGAGGAAGAGGACTTCTGATCCCTCAGCTTTATACTGAATGCAACACATATGGAATGGAATACTTATGTCAGTCAGGTTTGGATCACCTGTCCTGTCCACTCATCCCTGGAGGTGCGCCCTTTTTACTTACTTATGACCTTCTAATGTGTTATACAAGATTTAGCAGTGGTCACCACAGGAGCAAGTATCAGCAAGAGCCTTTCTGCATCCCAATTCCTGGTAGTAACTGTAAACATCAGGCGTTATCACTTCTAGTAGCAGACACTGTCTGCAAAAACGTGCTGTTATCTTCAGAAAGTGCAGCTTCTTAGAACAGACTGAGGTGAAAAGAAAAATCATTGACCATAGAACTGGCTCTGTTCCAGCCCAAGACAGGACACTATGAAAACTTGTTTTCTACCCTCTCTTCTATAAATCACGTACTGCCTTTCAAGGCAGCGTCTAGCTTTTGTACAGTTAAAATCTATTTGCATCATTATTAATCTACCCAATTCGGAAGCACATTACAGAGGGGAAAAGTCTGTTTCGGTATAGTCAGCACCACAGGAAACTAAGCAAAGCAAGCTGTGATGACAGAGAACTGGGAGGAGTGGTTGACACACCAGAAGGCTGTGCTGCCATTCGGAGAGACCTGGATAGGCTGGAGAGTTGGGCAGGGAGAAATTTTATGAAATTCAACACGGGCACGTGTAGAGTCTTGCATTTGGGAAAGAACAACCCCATGTGCCAGTATAGGTTGGGGACTGATCTGCAGTGTAGGAGAAAGGGACTTGGGGGTTCTGGTGGGCAGCAGGATGACCATGAGCCAGCAATGTGCCCTCGTGGCCAAGAAGGCCAATGGCATCCTGGGCTGTATTAGAAGGGCAGTAGCTGGTAGGTTGAGACAGGTCCTCCTGCCCCTCTGATCTGCCCAGATGTGTGAGGCCACATCTGGAATATTGTGTCCAGTTCTGAGCCCCTCAGCTCAAGAGAGACAGGGAACTGCTGGGGAGAGTCCAGCACAGAGCCACAGAGATGATGAAGGGAGTGGAACATCTCCCTTATGAGGAAAGGCTGAAGGAGCCGGGTCTCTTTAGCTTGGAGAAGAGGAGGCTGAGGGGTGACCTCATAAATATTTATAAATATGTCAAGGGGGAGTGTCAGGAGGATGGTGCCAGGCTCTTTTCAGTGATGTCCAATGACAGGGCAAGGGGCAATGGGTACAAGCTGGAACATGGGATGTTCCACAAAACCTTTAGGAAAAACTTTTTCACTGTGAGGGTGACAGAGCACTGGCACAGGCTGCCCAGGGAGGTTGTGGAGTCTCCTTCTCTGGAGACATTCAAAACCCATCTGGATGCGTTCCTGTGTGACCTACTGTAGGTGGTGCTGTGCTGGCAGGGAGGTTGAACTAGATGACCTTTCGAGGTCCCTTTCAACTCCTAACATTCTGTGATTCTGTGAATAAGCTGATATTGAAGCTTATGATGAATATTCCAAATTATTGTGTAAGTTTTCCTGTAAGAATGGAAGAAACATTTCTCCCAGTAATAAATTACTTTTAAGAACTGCTGTTGGGAAGCTGAGTCTTGTGTTTAAAAACAAGTGGAGTCCTCCTTCTTCTCCCGTCCCCAAAGCGTTGCAAGGTACAGTTGTCTCACACATCCAAAACACCGTTCACACCTACCATACGGGAGGTAACATAGTATTCAGTGTTTCACTCCCTAACACAGCAATAGGCTCATTTACCTTTTCCACTGGTATGTTCTTCAAATCATTGTACTAAGGCCTGCCTATCATTAAACACCACATTCTTCTCTTCATTTGTTTTTTCTCAAAAGCCAGTTAAAACAAGTCAGAAAAGAACAACTTCTCCCTCCTTGTCCATCCGTGGCTGCCTCCCTCTATTTCTTGAATCGCTACTTGCCTTCTGTACAATAGCATGCAAGCAGCTTTGCTGATGACCGTATCTATCGTTGTCCTTAGACCAAGACTTATTGCCGTTCAGTGCACAGCTTGGACCCTTCCAGATATGGGCCTAAAGTGTGTAACAAACAGCATGAGGTAGAACAGAAATGTCAACTATTACCCTCAAATAAAATGGTTTGGCTCTACTCCCTTGGCCTCTTTGCTCTGAGCAAAGTCTGGAGCACGCTGGTGTTTGTCGCTCTATATTAAGGACATTGTCATATTATGGACCCAAAAGGACTGATGCCTTTTTACCAGACAGAAATCTGGAGACAACACAGCATGGTGCTTCGTTATGTGTGGAAAACGGGACTTATCGCTCTTGTCTCAGTGCCCTGCCCGACACACTGGGTATTTCTCGCTCTGGCAGGACTTGAAGCTGGCGATGGCACAGCTGCCTCGTATGTCCGCCCTGAGGCTCCCCGTGCGTCCAGGGGCTGCGAGTCTGGCCAGTCCTGCCACAGGGGAAAGGGAACAGCAGACAAAGCACCGCAGACAAAGCACAGCTGGTTCCTCTCCGGCACCTTTTGAGGACAGCCTTTGCCCAATTGCAAATCCATAAGGCACGGGTGGTTTACTTGCATTTCCTCTCAAACTGGACAGGGATCAACTGAAAAAATGGGTTAGTCGTCTTGTCTGATCCTTTCAGTTTCAATGCCGGATACAGAACCTGCCAGTGTCTCTTTTGCCAACCTCTCACTTAATTGTATTTGACTTTTAAGATGATTAGAAGTTAATCTTAACCCAGGAATTATTTACTTTTCTGAACCTGCCCATGCAGGACAACCAGGCAATTCAGGGACAGGCCAACAGTCAGCAGCTGTTTTGTAGAATCCCATGGCCAGAGTGGGGAGAGGATGGGGAAAACAGAATTTGCTGCAACGAGAAGCAACACTTCTGTATCTGATACATATATTTAGAACAGCTACATGAAGCGTCTAGGAAGTAAATCTCTGCCCTAGCTTAAGACAGCAAGTCTCAGCACTATATATTTTTCCTTTTTTAAAGTATACCCACACCATGTGCATATTCAAAGACCTCCCAGTAAAACCTCTCTTTCTCCCTTCTTTTCCTAAGGCACCTTGTAACTTCACAACATTGACCTTTCACCACAAAACTTCCATTTCCTCCCATGTAGCCACACTGAGAACTGCAGGCAATTAGTTCTGTCCCCACTTTCACGCCCCCCACCAAGTGCCTGCTTTAGGATAGCACAGTGTAAAATCCAGTTCAAACCCAAGGGCACGATTCCATTGCCTTTCAGTGCCTTTTCTTGCAGGGTCATTTGACTTT